CGCGCTTCCCAAGCGGCGCACTATCCAGTGCGCCACAGGGCCGGCCCCAATTGCTGTTTTATATAGGGTCGTCTGGGAAAGCCTTTCTTCTATGGTAACATCTAAGCAGAGATTTGAAAGTAAAGCCATGGTAGAAGGAGCATAATGACAGTATATTCACAGCAAAGCACCACAGACTAGGTGACTTGAAGAAAAGAAATTTATTGAGCCACAGTTCTGGAGACCAGAAGTCCAAAATCAAGGTGTCAACAAGGCTGGTTCCTTTTGAGAGCTTAATTTAGGGAAGGATCTATTCCAAGCCTCTTTCTTTGGTTTTGTAAATGGCCATCCTCTCCCTTTATCTCTTCACTTTATCCTTCCCATGAGCATGTCTGTGTCCAAATTTACCTTTCTTATGACAACACCAATCATATTGAATTAGGGCCCACTTTAATTACCTCATTTTCACTTGACTATGTCTGTAAAGAACCTATTGCCAAACAAAGTCACAATCTGAGGAACTGGGGGTTAGAACTTCAACATACAAATTTTGGGGAACAAAATTCAACCTAGCAGATATGAACATCTTTAATAATTAAGGTTCTAGGCAAAGTTCTGGAAAAAGACTCGCTCTAGTAAATATGCTAGCATAGACAAGTTCCTTGTGTTTTCCAACAGGTCTGCTTCAGAATCAATCCTTACAACTTCAAGAACAGGAAAAACTCTTAACAAAGAAAGGTCAGCAAATTTAATACCACAAATTCTAAAATATTCCTCTTTCCTTGGCTGCCTAGAGGCAGGGTATGGGCTACATAACCTCTTAGCTCCAGTTCTGGGAGTCTGTTAAGTCAGGGATGTTGGGGAGCTTTTTAAGGACTAATCATTGGCTCCGAGTACACCTTAACTAGTTAGCCTTCTATCCTGAGAGGCATATAAGCTGTGAAAAAAGGATTTCTGCTCTCTCTGAAAACATGTTTGTGTTGAACATTTCAATAAATTGATTTTGAACTCAGGATTTCATGTCAATTTTTGCACACTTGATTTTCCAAATCACATCTAACTTCCCAGCTCCAAATCATGTAGCATGCAAGAGTCAACTCATTCTTAGCCCTAAATAGTCTGCTTCCCAAGCTTCCTGAGAATTCCTCATGTATCTGGAGGAGGCAATAACTCCTCACTTATCCACTACACATGGCCTTTTGTTTTCTCCTCACAATCACTGGGTATAATATAATAGACAATGCAGATATTATTATGCCCACTAGTATGGATATGAAAATGATGGTCTATGGTCACCCAAATTAAGGATAGAGCTAAGACAACAATCTAGAACTTCTGACCCCTAGTCCAGTGCTCTTTTCACCAAGACGAAGGCTGCAAGGTGTCTGAAAAACCATCTTTAACCACACGAAGATAAATTTTAGGATAATGGTGCTATTTTCACCACTTTGAAATGAGGACATAAGATTATAATGTTGAAGGATCCAGCAAGCCTACCTGACAAAGTAGAAAGGATGTGACATACAACCAAAGAAATTCAATGTATTCACTAAAAGCATCTGGCCTTAGAAAAGACTGGGGATACAAAGAAAAGTAAGATGCCAACACTGCCCTCAAGGAGCTCAAATTCCAGCTGTCTGTCCATGCTGAGCAGGGTCCCAATGGGAATTCCTGAAGTCAGAGAATTCCATTCCACTCAGTCTAGCCAAGGGCAGGCCTTCCCTTCTTCCCTTCCCTCCCCCAACTCCTAGGGTTTCTCACTAAATGACAGGGCCCTTCCTCAGTGTGCGTGCCTCACTGTCACTGAGAATCTGGCTGCTTTTTTAGATAAGGCTTTGCCTGTGTGGAGTCCAAAGCCCTCCCTTAATGAAGAGGAGCCTGAGGGTACAGGGAAGGAGAAAGACTGGGATCTCAGAGACCAGCTGCAAAAGAAGACTTTGCAGCTCCAGACCAAGGAAAAGGAGGTGAGACAGTAACCTCAGGTAGCCTGGGGCTCATCTGAAGGATGGCAGGAAAAACTGCTGGGAGGCAACCAGAGAGCAGGGATTTCAAAGTTTAAATTATGATTGGATGCCTGCAGGTATTTATTTGCCTGTTTAAAATGTCTTTGCTTCTGGATTGACTTGTCAATCTTTTCCCTTCCTTATTTATACCAACCTCTTTCAAGGTTTTATTAAATAGTTACCTTTTGGAAAGTCAACCTAAACTCAAACACATTTAATAAACATATAAACTTGTCAAACTTTGTCCCACACTGAGTATTTTAAAGCTTTATATAGGGCTTTTTAAATAGCAAAACTTGGGCTGACCAGTTAGCTCAGTTGATTAGAGTGCAGCCTTATAACACCAAGGTCATGGATTCGGATCCCCACATCAACCAGCTGCCAAAGGAAAAAAAAAAAAGGATAAATAAATAGCAAAACTCTTCCTCTCTGCATACTCACAAACATACACATTCTCACACACATTCTCATTCTCTCTCATACATACACATTCCCAGAATTATCCATATGCAACTAGCTCCTGGGGAACTGACTGGCACTAAGCTCACTTCTAGGTCTTTTGTGCTATAAGAACTTCATTTTTTGGTGTCCCCCATTTACAAGGCACTTGCACATACACTGTCACATAAAAGCACTTACACATACAGTATGTAATGTTATAATCAATCATTTAAATGAACACATTCTGGACAAATTACATGAGAAACAGTTGAAAGGCAAACTGAAATTGCTGAGAAAGCCTGGAAAGGAAAGATGGTAAAAATTCCAAATGAGTGAAGGGGTAACTTACACAGGGTAGTCTCCCCACCTGAATTCTGTCCCAGACCAGAACTGATGATGATGACCTTGGTGATATTCCCCCCCAGTGCAGAGAACTGCATTCAGAGTTAGACAACCTCAGTGACGAGTATCTCTCCTGCCTGCGTAAGCTGCAACACTGTCGAGAAGAGCTGAAGCAGAGCCTACAGCCGCCTCCCAGAGTAAGAGGGTCCATCCTCCAGTACAGCCCTAGATAACGGTGGGATGATCCCTTCTTCAGCCAAGTCCTGGAGAGAAAATTTATCACCTTATGCCAATACCTGGCCAGCCTGTGTCACTCCACTTGGTTTATACAATACTGACAGTAGAGCAACCATGGAAAGAAACACTGGCTCATGCATCCAAGCCCAATTTTCCTGGAACTCTTGAGCCTGGAGGGAAAGACTTGCTATTAGCTAAAGTATGAAAGGGTATTCTTTTAGAGTACTATGAGCATGGTGGCAAGGATAGTGACATATGAACAGAGAACATAATTTTCCTCAGTTATTTTCCACCCTTCATTATTCATATCAGCATTTATGTATCTGGGGCAAGAGACCACTATTTTTATCCTAAGGGAGTGACAGAAAGTGGGAGAGACAGTGAAGTAAAAAGCTTTTTCTCCACCACCAACCCAAGGTTTTCCACTGGTCTAGAATAGCAAGAGGAAGATTATTTTTACCTATATCTTCTCCTACCAACTCATGGCCACCTTCTATCTACCCCTCCTCTCCCTCCACACAGAGGCAATGTGGCCGATGGCTCCCGATGCTGATGGTGGTGATTGCTACAGCACTGGCAGTGTTCCTGGCCAACAAAGACAACCTGATGATCTGAATAACTTGTGACAGCTGCCTTGGGTGAAAAGCAAGGAACTCAGTGGAAAACTCAGAAAGTTTGGGTATTTCATAGCTTGGGTTTTTCCCCCCAACTGAACTGGAATTCTGACTTCATTATTTTTTTAACCTACTGTAAATAAACTTCACCTGTTTAGACCATGCCTCAAAACTCTCATTTCAAAATAAACTTCACCTGTTTAGACCATGCCTCAAAACTCTCATTTCATTCCTGAATGACATATCACATCACAAGTATGACCTTTAAGCATCCTGGTCTACTCTACAGAGTCCAATTCAGTTGGAGGTAAAGAAATATGCAGAAAAACCCACAATCCTTCTATTTTCCTGGCAGACACTACCCACATAGGGCAATTATTTACAAAGCTACCGTACAAAGTACACTGCTTGTCCTCCACCACCTTTCTCTCCACCACCTCTCATCCAGTGAAAAATGGATGTCCCTGTTAAGCAAAGAGTACTTCCTAGTATAGAAATGGCAAATCTGCACTACTACCACCATTACCTATTCCCATGCCCTTTGCATATGTGCTAAGGGATTACAGCAATCTTCCCTAGTATTCTCAAGATGCTTGGAATCAGCACTTGAGATGATTCCTATTTGCTATCCCCAACCTAGAAAAGATTATTTACTGAGTACCTTGTACATGGGAGGAGAGTTAAAGTCAGAGGGCCACAGCTGGCAGTGTGACTATCTCAGAGGAGATGCTGAGGTCAGCAAAGTCATCCTGAGTCCTAAATCGGGTTCTGAGGTTCTTCTCCCAGGTGTTTAGAATGTCCCTCAGGGCTGAGGACAAACTCTCTGGGACACTAAAGGAATAGAGCAAGACTGGGGGTTGACCTAGCAGCCATGAGATCCGGACAGTAAATACCCGTAGTGGGGTCAGGGCTAAGCAGTTGTCATCTCCCTGGTTCAGGTGAAAGGTATATGGGACAGGATAGCCCAGAAGGATCCCAAATACTGTACAGAGATTCCAGTCTGAGGAATGGAGCCTGCTGTGGGAGACAGATAGGGATACGTCCCTCTGCAGCCCCTGAAAATGTGTAATGATCTCAGCCACGAGGGCCTTCAAGTCCTGAAGCTGGTCCAGGGAGCAGATAGAAGGATGAGGTTGGGAGCTGGAAATATCCACAAAGGCTGTGGTACCACACAACACCTGCTCCAAGTGCTGACATACATGCTCAGGACTGACAATCAAGCTGTTTTCTCCAATCTCAAGGATATGAAGTCTCAAGGTCAAGAAGTCCAGCCCCTGCAGCTCCTCCAGGTAGCTCTGGAGCTCCAATGCCCCTGCACAGCTGCAATCATATAGCAGAGCTGGTTTCAGTCCCCTGGCCACAGCCAGCACCTCTCCAGCTAGATGAAGGCAGATGGCTCTGGGTAGACCACGTCTCTTTCCCATGCCCAAGGTCTGCTGAGCAGCTGCCACCAGCAGCTGAGGGCGAGGTGTTGACATGAGATCTGGAAGCAACATCAACCATGGCTTCCTTAGCTAGACACAGTTCCCTTCCCTGGGCTGCAGCTCTCAGCTCCAGACACTTGAGGAAGGGCCTAGAAACAAAGTAGTAGCAAAGAATTATTTATACCAGCCAGTGACACACCAGGAAACCTGCCAACGGTCTTTCTCTTAAGTCTTATAGCATCTTCCAAAGGTTGTTTTGTCCCTCCCTCTGCTTTGGAATGCTGACCCAGCCCAGACAAGATGGGGTCTCAAATGCTACCTGATTTCTCTGGCTGACTTAGTCTCCCTTAGTCCCAAATTCGTGTGTCCATCTGGCCTTATGTCCACATTCATATTCTCTCTGCCTTCTATTCTAAATTTCACCCGTTACAAACCATGTTCTCTGATTCAAACCTTAAGGAGTTTGGGGCCGAGAAGAGACAGGGGAGTCTTCGGCAAAACTCAGAGCGTTTCACCCAAAACTGCCCTTCTGGGACAGAGCTCTAGGTTCCAAATGCATTCTTTACACTGCCAGCTTCCCTTTCTCTTCCCGCCAAGGAGAACAGTTGTAAGACTAGCAATATAATAATAAACTCATATACACTAGAATGTGGACTACCAACCCTCTCACCCTGAGGCCTATATAAAAACAAATGAAATCCGCTAGAACTGCAGGACGGTTGTATTTTAACTTCTGCCGGCCCCGCCGGCCCCTTCTGGGCTCCCTCCAATCCACACAACCTACACCTGAGCGTACCATCGTGATTTCTTAAACGAGGCAGAAGCCTCTCTCACGTACGTTCTTCTTCCACTTCCGCTGGAGGCTCACTGGCTCAGGAACTCCTTCCGGTTTCCTGCCTGTTGCGGGTAAGACGGATGGTCTTCCGCGCCCCGCCGCAACACTGGAAATACCACCAGCGAGTGGAAGACGTTTGCGGCTCGCTTGCCTCCAGCCGGCGAGCACGTCCTGTTGCGCATGCGCATCCACTCGGCACAGCCCCTTCTCTCCCTTCCGTGACGTCACTAGTCCTCTGGCGCGCCTAGCGTTGGAACTACAGGTTAGGCCGCCCAACAGCCCGCCGGAAGTGCGGACAGCCTGCGACCCTCCCCTTCCGGCCAGGCAGAACCCGGTCCGCCACTCAGGAACAGTGAGAGGCGGAAGTGGACGAGGGCGAGCGGAAGCTAGCAAACTGGTTGCGCGCTCTTGCCCTCACTTTGCCTGGCGGCAAGCCTTGCTGACATGTTATGAAGCCTGGGGTCCTTCTTGACTGCGAAGCCAGAAACAGGGCACAGAGCACTTAATAAACACCCTTGGATTTGTATCTGGAGAAATATACTTTTCCTTACAGACGAAACATACCGCCAGAGAAGCAGTATTTGGACAAGATATTTGGCAGAATAGCCTCACCTGTGGGTGGTGCTGCAAAGCTTTTTTCCCCTAAACTTTGACCTCCCTATATCCTAAATTTGAGAGGCTGAGTTCCATGTGCCAGGTATGCTTCTAGGCGCGCAAGGTGTTGCAGTGTACAAAACACAATAAACCCCACTTTCACAGAGTTTAAGTTCTAGGAGTCCAGTTTGCTGACTTAAGATGAGAAATGAAAAGCAAAGATGCAGAGGCTTTTCAATCAAGTCGCTACGAAGAAAAAGTGTTATTACACCTTTTTAAGTACCAGTGATTTGACCCATACCACAAAGGGAGTTTCTTGAGAAAAGCCCAGTATCTGAGGAAATAGCCAAATTTACTTAGACATGGGCAGCAGGATAGAAGCTAAGGGAACTGCAGGCACCTACACTGAAAGTTTCATTCCTGGCTCTACCTTGGTGATATCTTCAGACTCTCAAAAGAGATAGCTGTGAAGTAAAGATGGGGCCAGTATGGAAGGAGGACCAGATTGCAGGAGCTACCAGCCTAACTCTGGTTCTTAGCTCAGAGGCAGTTAGAAATAGAGTCCTCTAATTTTAGAATTTTTCCCTTTCGCATATTTATTTCCCCATGGTGGTTAGCAATGAATCTATAAAATAACTTTTGTTTATTCATTTATTCTAGAAACAAATATTTAAGAACATACTGTGTACCAGACATTGTTCTTAGGACTGGCAGAAAAGTCTAGGACAAACAATCCCTACCTTCAGCAAGTTTGTAGTGAAGCAAGATGCATGCTGAGCAATTACAAGGTAAATGATTATACTGAAAGCAGAAGTATAGGGTGCGATGGGAACATAAGACTTGCCCTCCTAATTTACCTCCAGTGGACTCTTTTTAACTTTGAACTAACCTAGTTTGGTGGGGTACACAGTGAGGAAAAGGAAGTGGTGAAAGCAAGGGAGAAGAAAACTCCAAGGGAGTGAGTGGTGGTAGCCACTAAAGGAGATAGCAGACTTAACTCCCCAAGAAAGGAAGGACACTTGGCATCCATCTATTAGGACCAGAGAAAGAATGCTGAGGGTGATGTAGGAGATCCCTGCATGCACTCTCCTAGCATTCTGAAAAGGATTCAATGCAAGGGACAAACTGAGCTATCTAGTCAAGACCACATAAAACCACTCATCCGTTCCTCTCATAAACTTTTCATTACAGTCACATACTAAAAGCTCAGTCCTTCTTGGCACTTTCTCAAAAGCCTTTGCCAACTTAGATTATCTGGGCTCCCATCCAGACAGCTTGGCTGTTAGCATTTCACAGAAGGGAAAGAGACCAGCCCAGATTCAACAATGCCCTTCCAATTTGCCTACAGTGGGTTTTAACTTTGAGCTCCCAGATACAGATGGGGAAGCCAAACATGAAGACCAAGCCCTCACTTCACCCACTAACCAAAATAACCAAAAAAAAAGAAAAGTAGTTCTATGTCTTGCATGCTTCCTGGTCTTTAAAAGGCCAACTTTTGCTTGAAGCTGGGCACCTGACCAACCCAGATCTCTCCTGGTCATGCTTTTAATAATAACAGATTATACTAGGTCTTTTAGGGACCCTAAAACCAAGGCTTAAGCATTTTAAATAAATAACTGCCACTGTCACCTTTAAGTTGAGCTTTTTGTTTTTTAAATGAAGCTAGCCCAACTTTTCAGTCATTTTGGAAAGTAGGAGATGTGTTGTTTTAAGTGTAGCAGACTAGACATGGGCTTCCTTACTATGGCCTGACACAAACAGGCATCAGTATTCAAGAGGATTGAGACCTGCCACCAGAGATTAGCATCTTTTTTTCCATTTACGTCCTGGAGTTTAAATTACAGAAATTTTCATCTTTTAAAAAAATAAATAACAGAGAGGGACAGAAGGGTCAGGGACTGAGCAAACATTACTAGATGGGACCAGTTTGTGACAAATGCAGCTGCAGTATTCTACACCACTCACCTTCGTCATTCACACCCAGATCCTTTCGCTAGCAAGGGAGACAAGCAGGTTTGTGCTAGATGAGCAGAAGAGCACTGCCCAGCCCTTCCTCAGCCTGGCCTTAACACACCCAAAACCCCATTTTCCTCAAATGCAAAAAAATCCAAATGACAGAATATGTTAAAAATCTCCAAGCAATGAGAAACTGTCCCTTTCGTAGTCAGAGGAGTACATCTCACTCCCAGGTCTTCCTCAGAGAAGAAAATAAAAAGAGAGCTCCTCCTTCTGAAGGTTACCACCTGAGTCACATTCTCTCCTCTACCACACACACACATACACAGGGGTATCTGAGTGGTGACAAGGTAACCACCTGACAACCCATTCTTCCACAGAATCCCTAGGTTTTCTGTGTCGACAGCTTCCCTTTACAAGCGCAATTTATGAGCTTTTATTCCACAGGCTGAGTGACTTTCAGACTTTGGCACCCATTTCTATTTAGATATCAAGCTTAGTTCCTAAGCAACCAGCCAGCTGCTCTCCCTCTCATTCCCCACATCAGGGAGCCAGCTTACTATACCAGCAAAACAGGTCAAACGGAGCTTGATCCTGGGCAAATCAAGGCTTGAAAGCAAAGGGAAGTGTGGTACAAGAACAACACAGAAGATTTCTGTTCCAGGCAGTTTTGCCTTCTACAAATAGAACAAAGTCATCAAGTCAGAGTTTTAAAGCTGGATGCAACTGCAGGCATCGTTCCAATCCCCTCACTTTACAAGTGATATATGTGAAGCCCAGAGGTTAAATGACTTGCTCAAGATCACAATAGAAGCCAAGCTGCAGCTAGAACTCTGGTGTCCAAACTCTCAGGCCAAATCTCCTTTGACTACATTTTGCTACCATCAGGTGGTTTAAAAAAGAAAAGGAAAGTCTGAAGGGTGATTTTTCCATAAATTAAATCAACTTTTAAAGCTAGGCATATTTGGAGAGTCATAGACTTCTAATACTGTTAGAAAGAAGAGAGATTTAAAAGCTGGTTAAATCTGAATAATAAAAAATATCCATATGTACAATATTGTAAAAAAGAAAACGAAGAAGATGGCATTTGTGACTACTGGGCTGGCAAGGCAGGGGGCAGTTGCATGCTGGGGGTGGGCTGCATGGGCTGCCAGCTTTCCTGGGTTTGGAGGATGCGGTATAGCTGCTTCAGTTGAGCAACGATGTTATCTTTGATGTCTGGAGTCGAGATCTGCAGGCGGACACTGCCACTGTCAAAAGATCGTGTGAAGTCACCAGAAAACATCTCGTAGATCATCCGAGCCACCACTGGAATGACCTGTTCAGGACAGAGCACATGGGTATCTACTGAGGAAAAGGTATTTTAAAGCAGCCGGAGGGGCCTAAGATTGAAGGAAGATCTGTGAGGCCCAGGGGAAACCTCCAACTCTAATGCCTAGATACAGGATACATCATCTCTCTCAACCATCCTGCCAAGTTTCACTCTAGAAGTTGATTCAAATGAAGGTAAAGAATCTATATGTAGCATAACATCACATGCCAAAATAAATGACTGCTTACTTAGCAAGACTTTTAACCAAATTTCATCTATTGCTTGCCTCATTGTACAATTCCGGGGTCCAAATCCAAGTTGCCTTGCTACCACTTCCTAAAATAAGGTTACATTCTTAAAAGCAACTCAAAAGGTTTTTTATAAGAAAAGCAGGAAAGTGTCATATCCTGTGAGATTTCAGCAAGACTCTAATGTCAGTAAGAAAATGAAAGATAAGTTCTCCACTAAATCAGTCACCCACTTTAAGGACCTCATATTCCCCAGCTTGGTCCTACTCTACAAAGCCTGTGTCTGCTGGATGTTTCATCAGGGCTCAAGGCACACCTGGAGGCTAAAGCACTGGAAAAAAGAAGAGTTGTTGACACACCCTTATCTCCTCACCTGAACCAAGATGAGTTTCCTTTCCAGAGGTTTCCCATCTGGCCATTCTTCCCCAAAGCATAAGTAGATCTCAAATGGTGGCTGCTTCTCAATCTGTCCTTTCTGGTGGGCAATGAGATCTGCAGAACACAGAAGAGCAAGTTTGGTATACTGGGTCATTCCATATCCACTTAGTAAATATAATTTTTTATGCTGTCCAATACAGTAGCCACTAACCACATGTGCCTATTAATTTTAAATTAATTACAATGAAATAGTTCTTTGGGCACATTAGTCACATTTACATGCCCAATAGCCACACGCAGCTAGTGGACAGCATATTGAACAGTACAAATACAGAACATTTCCATCATTTCAGAGGATGCTATTGAACATCATTGATCTAGACTTGGGATTCAAACCACATTGCAAAATTCCCATCTCAGTGCTCTCCCTAAAATTGTCTGCTTGAATTCACCACTCAGATATTTCCCAAAAGAAACAAGTATGTGTTTTGCTAAATATGACAAACAGGGTCACCTTCCAAATTTAACTTTATGCTTATCTTTAACAT